AAGGCATTAACTGTTGGACTATTATTGATGGCATTCTTCATGCTATCAATACTGGCATTCATTGGCTTTGCAGTCAACTGATCCACAAAAGACATGACGATTACAGTGCGATTACAGGGCAATGGATGGACAATCAAATGTCAGTACCTGTGCTATCATTAGATCCCCGAAGAGTTGTCACCAAATTGTCGATTATTATCGTTATTATTAAAGGTCTATAAGTGAAGAGACAATTGAATTAAATTAAACATCAATTCAACGTTTGTTTGACGTTATGTTTGACTCAATGCTTAAGAGAAACAAAAATCTTTGACAACAAATAATATTGTCATTGAAAACGAAGTGACCATTAGTTTATGGCATGTATTGAGTGAAACAAGACGTGCCGAAGACGTGTCCTCTCGGATGCAAACCTGTTATATATGTATTGTATTGACAATCAGTGGCCGAAAGATATCAACACTTATTGACAACAATAATAGAGAAATGTTTGGTTTGTTTCACAGATTCTGCAAACGATGTAATGCTTTAACTCTTGTTTTGCATTCAGTTATTCAACGAAAAGACCGATTCATGGATTGATTGGCCGCTCATTGGCTGCAAAGCAGAGACCGAACCAAACAAACAGTGATTAATATTTCGCGCTATCGATGTCTCCAATGTCTCAACCATTTAATGCATACAACCATTCATTCACCACAAGTGCCGCCATATCTCCCAAACTCCGGTTCAAACCAGTTCTGGTCGTCCCTTCACTGCACTCAACACCACAACAATTACGTCCCACTTATGCCTCCCTCTCAGGCCTGGAGTCAACACTTTTGGTCCACTCATTGCACGCCGTATTCAATGGTTGGCCAACACATGAATACACGCGTCACCCGTAACCACCCCTACGAACGGGATTGTGGTGAGGGTGGTTTGAAAAGGTGAGTAAACGTTGTGTTTATAACGGCAAGTAACGGAAGTGAGTGTTGTCTACCGTCTGTACTGACGTTTGTAAGTAAAGGTAGTAATGCAGTAAGTAAGAGTAAATTCATTGACAATACAATACACTCTTTCACTAAATAATGTATGTTTACTACGAGTAAAGCATCACTTTAGCTGTTATACAATAGTACTGCAATACCCGCACCCCATCCTTGCCATCCGACCCTCAAGTGGCCAATACTATGCCAATGGCTGTGAGTGTGACCCCCGGCCCCCATCCCTCCCACCCCTCCCAACATTAATAATGCTGTAAATGATTACTCATTGATTGCATTCACAAGTTTTTATGCAACACTTGAATGCCATTGAAAAGGGTTTGAGTCAAACAGTTTGACGAAATGCTAACTTTTATAAGTTATGTAATAATGTATTTATTTATAGCTGTAAGACATGAATGATCTTCTAATACAATCAATTTATTGTTTGCATATTTATTATTATTCTGTAATTAATGTTGAATTCAAAATAAAGTGAAAAAGAGTTTTAGCGATGGAGTGAACTGTTGTGGCACTGAATGCACATTAGTTTGTTTGCATCGATTACATTGACAATCAATTGCATCACCCCTTCAATACCCTTTGGCAAACATACCATCCATTCCCTCATAGATACTGTATTTCTTGAATTTCTTGTCTTAAGAAAAAAGTTTATTAAAAAAAGCTGTGATTCAATGAATGCCTTTTCCGCTCAACCTTTCAGATAATGATTGCAATTAATGAACGCATTTAGAAAAGTTGCGAATCTTTAGCATTACTTGTTTTTAAACAGGAATTATTAAAACTAATACTTAAGTGAATACAAGAATAAGATATAAAATGTATGGATTAGTGTTTTCGTTAGTTTTTGTGAAATGAGTTTAAAGGCCAGTCTTACCAATAGCTCACAGACAACGTAAATGCATGCAATGTATTGGTAGATATTGGTAAGACTGGCCTTCAAACTCATTTCACAAAAACTAACGAAAACACTAATCCATACATTTTATATCTTATTCTTGTATTCACTTAAGTATTAGTTTTAATAATTCCTGTATTAAAACAAATATCGATAAAAACATAATGAATTAATTGATGATAAAATTAATGTTATTTATAAATATGTAAACTATATGTATGTAAAATAATACTTTATACAATAGTATAATGTTTTAATTGTATTAGATGAGCGTACTTTTACGTAAATAACTACAATTTTAAACACTTATTTGATTAAATACAAGTTATAATTAAGTTAAAATAAATATAACATTTAGCCTGTGTAGCCCTCATGGAAAACATTGTTACAGTTAATGTTAGAAATCAATTATTTAGTAGATTAGGTCTGAGAAACACGTGAAAATAATGTGGAAGAAATATGTAAAATATATTTACAAACCATGAGAAATACATCTACAGTACATGTAATTAATTAATATATATTTTTATTTATATCCCCAAAGAATAAACATAATAAAAATGTTGATGAATTCGTTAATTTACATTTTTACAAGAAATTATCTTCAATTATATGGTTAAGAGTGTTTGATAATGATATATAAATATACCATATTGTAAAATGTCAACAATCATTATTATTAACCACTCTCAAGCAATGATCGATAAATATATGTATTAACACTTTTATCAAGGAATTTGAGATGATAATGATTGTACCCCTTTAATGACACTTTATGGTAAAGCATTCAGTAATTTTATAAATACCTTATAAATACGGTACTATTTTTGCTGTAATGATGTGTTGTTTAGCAAAAACTATTTGAAAACTTAAATTTTAAAGATGATAATTATATGTTAATCACATTTTGTTATAAACATGTCATTTAAATTTTATTTTTTATTAAGTTTGAGTTTTCAGACTCATTGAATGCAGATATGTATATATATTTAACACAGTTTTTATTAGGAAACACAGCGGGAGATAACGGTATCTAAAGAATCAAGACTTAAATTATTTGAATAAATACATTAAATTCATACACTTTTCGTAATAAATAGCAAATATAATTAATATATGCGGCGATACTCATAATTGTGTGCATTTATATTAAATTATACACATTATATTTAATTACATATTACAATAATGCGCTTAATATTAACGTTAAACAAATATTTCAAAAAATATATTTTTATTCATAAAAAGTTAGATTTACACTAAAGATATCAAAAATGATTAAAACAAGAATAGATTAATAAATAAAAGTGAATTCAATAAATTAGGAGCAGAGAGAGGGTGCGAATAGTGGGCACAAAATGTGTTAAAATGAGCTCTTCTTCCATATAAGTTGTCCAACAATTAAAACAAATGTTTTGTCTATTAATCAAGAAATATATATAAGAATCCCTTTTCAACACATTTGTAGAAATAGTTAATGAATTGAATGAAGACTAAAGTGTGTGTCAACTAAAAGAACAGATATGACAAACATATAACATATGAACAATGAAAATGACTTCTTATTATTACATACAAAACATTAAGTCAGAAACGAGACAACAATTAATCGGCTTCATTGCAGGTCTGGTATAATTTGGTACAATCGGCTCCACTTCTTCCCTGTCGTGAGGCCTCGTAGTTAGCATTAAATGGAACCGATTTCTGGCTCTCCAACAAATAACTCGAGGCATATCTAACAGATGAATAAAACAACAAAAATAAAACACTCAATCAATAAGAGTAACTCATTAACAACTGTCTGAAGACATGAACATACCCTCCCATCTGAGCGATAAGATATCCCAATTCACGGCCTTCTCTGGAGGCCAGAGCTGATGCTTCGCACGTATGCTTCTGAATACAGTGCTCATCATTTGTGAGCACAGATCTGACGTAACCTTTAACGACGGAAATGCCGGCGACGGCCGCGTCGTCTATCGAATCGCGAATACCTCGCGAGGAAGAGCTTCGCGCTCTTTGACCGAACGATGACTTCAACATATCTAACACCTCAACAAATATATACAATTGTTAGATAAATTGCATTTTTGTAAATTTGAAAGAATCCTTACTTTAACCAAAACATTGAGCACTTGGCGAGAAGTGGCGGAACTCTCTTCAGTGGATCCAAACAGCAATTTAACCACTGTTTTGACAATATTTTTGGTGTTAAGGAATTGTGTTAAGTCCTTCTTGTCCTGATCGAAACGGAACTTCCTCTCATCAAAGCGTCCCTGTCTTTGGTTACTCTCCGTCTCATTCTCTGTCTTTTGAGCCAAACTTAATGCCAACCAAACGGTCAAAAGGAAGACAACTATTGAATATTTCATTGCAACTGTCAATTGAGAATCAATTAGTCTTTTGCTTAATATAGTCTTAAAATATTGTAAACTTTAATAAAATATAAGAGAAGTGTAAAGCAGTGGAAGCGAGAGATAACTAAAAAGTGTCTGTTGTTGTGAATTGCAATTCTCGTAAAACATGAAACTAAACATTTGACCCAAATTTTGATTATGTTTTTCTCAAGACATGTTAAATAAAGTTCCGGTTCTTTGCTTACAAACGCTTCCCCATTCATTAGACGAAGGAAAGGCGGTTTTTCAAGTTCAAGAGTATAGGCATGACTTATATAATAACTGGGCTTTCAATGAATGGTATGTGCTTTAAAACTAGTATTCCGTTCAGTTTTATAACTTATACGGTATAAAAAATTGTAATTCAAAAAACTTATCACATTTTGCCAAAAAAGTTTACAACAAAAAGTTCATGAATTTTACAGTTATTGCAATTCAATGGATTGTTTGTGATGTGAGTGAAGTATAGATGTGTTTACTTTGATTAGATTCACAAACAATCAGATTATTTAACAATTTAATGCTTAACTTGTTTTAATAATAAAAAACTTTATAATTCTTTGTAATTATTTCTCCGGTAATTATTTTTTACAAAGAAATTTACAATGAATTATAACAAACATTAAATGTCTAACAATTAAGAAGATTTATCAGATTAAACTAACATTGATTATTTTGAATGAGATTAGTAAAGATTATACATGCAATCACTTGCTTTCACATAAAATTAATATTAAATCAAAATAATAATATTACTGTTATTCAAAACTTGAGACATTAATTCATACATTATTACAAAAATTATTAAATATTAAAAAGATTAAAAAATATAAAATGTTGACAAATATTGTTAGTGGAGATAAGAGTACAATAAAGTTACTTCACTATGACGTGAATGATTTGAAATATAAGTTGAAATATAGAGTGAAATAGTTTTTTTGTAAGAAATAATGAAAACTCACAGAATTGTTGCTCAGAAGTATTCCTTTGAATGTTCACTGAAATGAGTGGAAGACTATAATGAAAGACATGGTTGTGGTGTTGGCTTATATACTGGCCCAGAGGCCCAAACATGCAAACAACGATGGGCTGAGTCATTGGCCCGGTTCTGGTAGCACAGGTCGCTCGCCTAACCATCATCTTAAGGTCACGGATGACTTAATTCCTACATAACTATGCCTTTATGCCTGTCGTAACACAAGGATATCGCCCGATATATGCAGGGCGTCATCACAACCACAATCATAGTAACAGTTATAACAATTATGTCTAACATTTAAAAACATTTATATATTAGTCTCAATTCATATATTTCACAATTGGTATACATTTTTAGTACAGATATAATATGGACAGAAATGACCGCAAATATCAGTAATAGTTATGCCAAATACACTGATATAAAAGTTATATTATGGTTAAATTGATTGATCCAAAGTGTGACCCCTTAACCCCTGGACACCCGATGTTGTCTATGCATAGGATGTGAGCCATAATTAGGGCATAACATAAGGATGTCTTACAGATTGATCCAAGAAATTGCAGTTTTTATTCGCATATTTTTAAATAAAAAACAGTATTTTTCCAGAAATAATACAAAATATAAGACCAGAAATAGTGTTGTATTAAAAGCCCATCATTTTATTGATTGCCATAATTTAAATTGTGGTTTAAAAACAAGTAATGCTAAAGATTCGCAACTTTTCTAAATGCGTTCATTAATTGCAATCATTATCTGAAAGGTTGAGCGGAAAAGGCATTCATTGAATCACAGCTTTTTTTAATAAACTTTTTTCTGAGACAAGAAATTCAAGAAATACAGTATCTATGAGGGAATGGATGGTATGTTTGCCAAAGGGTATTGAAGGGGTGATTGCAATTGATTGTCAATGTAATCGATGCTTTCAAACTAATGTGCATTCAGTGCCACAACAGTTCACTCCAGAGCTAAAACTCTTTTTCACTTTATTTTGAATTCAACATTAATTACAGAATAATAATAAATATGCAAACAATAAATTGATTGTATTATAAGAGCATTCATGTCTTACAGCTATAAATAAATACATTATTACATAACTTATAAAACTTGTAAAAGTTAGCATTTCGTCAAACTGTTTGACTCAAACACTATTCAATGGCATTCAAGTGTTGCACAAACACTTGTGAATGCAATCAATGAGTAATCATTTACAGCATTATTAATGTTGGGAGGGGTGGGAGGTGTGGGGGCCGGGGGTCACACTCACAGCCATTGGCATAGTATCGGTCACTTGAGGGCAAGGATGGGAAGGGGTGCGGGTATTGCAGTACTATTGTATAACAGCTAAAGTGATGGCTTTACTCGTAGTAAACATTCATTATTTAGCGAAAGAGTATTGTATTGTCGATGAATTGACTGAATGAATGACGTAATGATGGAAATGAATGTTTGCAGTCATGTCTGCCATCTGTTGTGAGTGAAGGCAATGAACGGCAATATTTGTGTTGCAAATGAGTGGAAAAGTTTGGTGGGAGTGGTGTTAGGG